CATTCGTTCCACAACCACTGAACGAACAACAGACGACAGTCTTTCATGTGTTCTAATGGGTACAGCTCTAAGATTACCTCACAGAGGCACAGCGATTTAATCTAGAATATTATCGCAACACCCGCAGAACGCATTAGATGTGTACAGTCCACAGACCAGGAGAAAATCCCTGCTAGGAATTCGATATACGCGCATGCGCAAGATCTCGCGGTGAATGACGATCCATCCTAAAAGCATTCGTTCCACAACCACTGAACGACCAACAGACGACAGGCTTTCATGTGTTCTGATGGGTACAGCTTTAAGATTACCTCACAGAGGCACAGCGATTTAATCTAGAATATTATCGCAACACCCGCAGAACACATTAGAGTTGGACTCACTCTTAACTGCTTGATGTTTTCAGTCTGTGTAGTAGCGTAAAACTCTGACGTATCACACTTCCCACCAATAGCAGCCCTCTAGTCCACCAGGCAGTAAACATCCCCCCCGCACCGACCAGAAACGACTTCCCCTTGCAGGGTTTTTCTCGTGATCTGTGGACGGTACTTGTGCCGTCACAAATAATCTGTAGCCCTCCTTAATTTCAGCAAATTTGTTTTACGTTTAGGCCGCGTATTCTCATCAAATAACTCTGCGCTGATGAGGCGAATCCTAATGGCGTTTGCATAAAAGCTCTAGTAAAGTTTGTGGAGAAAATTTATTCCAGGCCAACGTCTACGTCTGTTCACTAATGTTGCCAACATACGAGGTTTGAAAATTCTGATACTGCCTTTTTCCACGCCGATTTTTTTAAAAAAACATTTTAAATTAAATTTTACTCACACTGGAACACACAAGAAAATGTTGATCCTTACCCTTCACCTTTCAATCTGTCAGTGTCGGAGTGGTATTAAATACGAAAAATAATTTACCAGGATTCAATCTTACGAACTCGTGCACCCAAGTAACCCTATGCTACCACAGCGCCAAAGCGTGTCAGTACTGTACCACGGCGCTTAAAGAAGACTTTTGAGACCACGTGACTTGTATACTATGCAAGAAGATTTAATTATTCGTGTTTTTTTTCGTCTAATCACAATTGTATATAAATAAATAAAATTTATACATAAGATATTAAAATATCATTTACATATTTGGTACATCTTTTTACTACATGTTTCGGTTACATCGAACCATCTTCAGGTGTAAAGTTAAAAGTTAAAAATTATAATCTTATAATCTTTTAACTTTACACCTGAAGATGGTTCGATGTAACCGAAACATGTAGTAAAAAGATGTACCAAATATGTAAATGATATTTTAATATTTTATGCATAAATTTTATTTATATACAATTGTGATTAGACGGAAGAAAACACGAATAATTAAATTTCAATTCACAATATGACGCAATTATATCAACTAACTCAAATTTATAATTGTTCTACCAAAATCAAGATTTATTGGAGTCCCTGGTTCGAGTTTCGACAGTTCGTGTTCCTATAACCTCCTCGCAACATTTTTCATTTTACCTCTGCCAGAAATCAGTGTTCGATATAAATACATATTTTACGTTGCGGATAAACTGCGTTCTCCATATACCACACCATGGTTCCTCTCAGGCAGGGTAGCTCCCAACGTGATGCCAAAACACACTTCTCAAAATCAATTCGTTATTACTGGATAATAAAATCAAGCATTCCTAGAATATTTTACAGATATAAAACTTCAATACGTTCAAATTTACCTGATACAACTATGGATGTAGCATTGACAATCAATGGAATCCCTTTAGATACGTCTTTCTTCACTAATTCTGTAAAGTATATCAAGTTGTGTATTCAGCTAACTACGTTTCACTGTTAACAAATCTATTTTCTGTATTCTTTACAGTTTTGACAATGTTCAGCATTTGCGAGGGTTACTACAAAACAAAGACCGATATTCTATGTTAAATGATTATAATATGCATCACGTTGAGACGCGGTACGGAACACAGTCTGAAGCAGCAAACACCGCGCATGCGTAAACACAAGCACCACCGCGCATGCATGAACACAAGCACCACCGCGCATGCGTGAACACAAGCACCACCGCGCATGCGTGAACACAAGCACACACAAGTCAAGCATACGTCATTTCCAATACGAAAAAAAGCCAGTGCAGGGTTAGGTAGGAGTTAACAGCTGTAAGCAAAGCGGGTTGAGGCACACGCACACACTCACCTGGCTGGACATCATTTGACTATGCGGGGGTGGGGGCTGAGGGTGGGGGGATGGCTGTGAAGACGGATGCGTCGGCGGTGATGGCCTCATGGTCGAGTTCTGGAACAAAGCAGCCACAGTTGTTGAACGGTGAACAGTGAACAACACAGACAGGGCAGGGTGGTATAGGCAGCAATGTTCACAAGACACAGGAAAACAGCACACAGCCACATCCACCCGTGTGACGACGAGACTGCAGTTCATCGACATCGCGACATTTTACAGGAAAACTGCCAGACATCTGACGAGCCACTGCCATTTCCTCGTCAGGTAACAAATTACAACTCCCTGTTGCAAGCATTACCACAAAAAAAGCTTCTAACGTCGGATGATAAATACGCTGTATGAACCTGTAACAAGGAGGAATCGATCGTGGTCTATTTAGACGTACTTCGTTGTAATGCAGTTACAGAGAAATTGTAACAACATTGGACTACTTAAGATTCGAATACCAGAATGGTGGCTTACGACTCTATCTAGAAGTTGATGCGACAATTCATTCAGAAAACAATGCAGTTACATGCCTAATCAACAGAAGAGGGCCGTCATAATGTCAAAAATCGCACGGTAAATATTTAATAAAACTCGATTCCTACTGCTTATACTTTATACGTGCTTTGTGTACATATAAGAGAACCCACAATGTAAAAAAAAATCAATCTGTCCAACTAATAAATTTGTATGTTGAATCCAAAAAAGTTGTTTTGTCGAAAATTGTTCTGTGTATGGCCTACATATACAGGTGAGCCAACATCCCTGTCCTTATACTTGGTAATAAAGGCATACATTGAAACTTATTTTTGGATATTATTTCTAAAATGAAACATTTCCGATCCCATGTTCATAGGAATATTTTTTTCTTATTTTTAATCCTGGAACACGCACACGAAAGTTTGTAAACATACTTCTGACTCACCCTGTATACATGGGATTTCATGTTCAATGATCGTGTAGTCACTGTGCACATTTACCGTAGTACTTAGGTCTGGTGAGAAGTCATTCTGATATGAATGAGATGATCAGTGTGGATCGCTGAGCTATACAGTGAATGAGACCGAAATAGCTTGCGTCTATTTCCATAAGGGCGGTGACCTTACTACACACAGCTGCTATGTACATAGAAACGTGTGCTATGATTTCGATGAATCATTTCCAAAGGATGTCTAACCACGGAGCTCACTATACTTAACTCTAACCTAACCTGATTTCCGATTAAACTGCGCCCTATGAGCACAGGGATAATGTCTCCAATGAACCACAGCGAAACTGTTATAGTAGATAAACAATTTCAATGACATTTGGTCTCCAAAATCACCGGACTTCTTTCCATTTCAGCTCGCAGAATTTGGAAACCTTTTACACGAAAATAACACCAGAAAAGTTATTACTTTTGTTTAAAGACTACGACATTGTGATTAATTCATTTAAATACCTGACTTTTTTCATTTCATGTCGAAATCTTATGACTTTGTGGTGATCGGAGCAATAATAACGGAATTTGTGACAGCATAAGCTCCGACGATTACAAAAAAAAGTCGAAAGAGAGAGAGGCTTTTGGACAATTATTAATAACACTAAGAAGCAGGTTACAACAAAAGCGACAACTAGTTTGTGGGTGCAAAAGCTTCCAACTTATATTTTCAAATATTTGACGTAAAAATATGCATTTTGCGTATTAAAGCAATGTTGTGGTCCCTTCATCTCTCTTCGCTCTCGCTAGCTAGACCTTGAAGAACACCCAACAAGCATTGCTTGGTGAATGCTTAGAGAATTAGCGCGTGATTACTGGGGTCATTTCTAACTTATGCATATTTGAGGCCTGCTGTCTGTACCTTTGTCTTTATTTGGGAGATCAGCACAAAAGTTGGGCACCGCGTGTATGACGCATAACGAATGTATGAAACGAAACACGTACAAAATGCCATCTGTTGCCGATCCCATTAACTAAATGCACCAAGAAGTTTAAATATTAAATAGTAATATTTATAAAATTAGGTCTTGTAACTTGTAAACAAACAAATTCTACTTCAGGAAATGCTTCGATATTTCAATCATCTCGCAAACTATGCAAATGTTTGTCTGAATATCCACTTTGTTGGTGTGAAATGTAGGTTATTTCGCTAAGACACAAACAACGCCAAAGCTTCTGATACGAAAGATGTCACACTCCCACGTGCAACGAATAAACGTTTCCCAATGAAAATTTTCCTTTCTTGGGCGGGGATAATAAAATACAACGGAATCACATGACACGTATCTTATTTAAGGATGCAGTATCAACTACCAAAGCATGTGGCACCTCTAATTACATGGGCGAAACAATTTGGACTGGCTTTAGAGGGCAAGACTTAGGACGGTCTTGTAACAAACTCAATTACGGGGTGACATGCAGTATGCCTACACACAGGGGAACAAGAGATGCGGGAAGAAATTTGTTAAACAAGTAAAAGACTTGTTACACAACTGTTGGACACCTTTTGTAAGTTTTGTCATAGTATACTCTTTAGGAGTATTGTCAGGGTGATTAAGTCCAGAAGAATGAGATTGGCGGGGCATGTAGCGCGCTTGGATGGCACAAGAGGTGTGCATCAGGTATTAGTTGGGAAGTCTGAGGGGAAGAGACCTAGACGTAGATGGGAGGATAATGTCAGGGGGGATCTATGGGAGATAGGAGTTGAAGGAGACTGGATTTTGTTGGCCCAGGACAGAGTCCGGTGGAGGGCTTTGGTTAATTCGGTGATGAACCTTCGGGTTCGGTAAGCCAGTTAGTTAGTTAGTTAGTTAGTTATACTCTTAAGGAATATGAAGCATCTTTCAGCCGATTTCTGTTATAATTTCTGAAGAAAGTTCGATTCTACAGGAAAGCAGTGTTATTGAATTCGTTTTGGGGGTCACGTTTTCAGATTACAGCGTTCGTCGAATATTCCGACATGGCGACCATGCGCACTTCAGACACTGTGGCAACACTAGCGCCAATCACTGAACGGATTCCTAAACAACCTAGTACGTAGCTTGTTCAATAGAACAGACGAGTGCCAGTCACTTCCGTGTCCACGTGAAGTAGTGGCGCCACTATCGTGAGAATTACCTTAACGTTTCGTGTTATCTTTTGTACGTTTACGAGTAAACTTCTTTGTATGTTTAACAAATAAGTTGAAATCAATCCCATGTGTTCTAACGCCACATTATGTAAATATTTCTTTGTACGAATTAATACAGTTTGAAGTCAACAACTCAACACAATTCGTAATGCGTTTATGTTTCTTTATCAGAGCTAATTTAGCAAGTATTTTTAAGTTTAATTCATCAGAACTGCTGATACTTTTACAAACTGGTAGATACAAGAGACTAACAACACTGGAACAATTTAATGTGCGATGTTTCCGCGGGAACGGGGTTACTGTTTTCATAAACAACCTCCGTCACGTGACTCACGGGGATTCCCCATATTTTCCTTCCCAACCTTTAACTACAACGCAATATTACTTTGAACGTATTTGTTAAAACACTACATTAAGCAGATTTAGAGCCATATACCTTTTGACAAATCCCATACATTCCGTCCACAACGTCCATTCACGATGCCTGGGTGCAACCTTTTTCAAACCCCACGAAACAATCCCAGAGAAGTTGAGACGCTCAGGTGGAAAGAACTACAACAGCCTTTTAATGGCTATAAAGTTAACTCTGGTCTTAACAAAAGCTCGCTCGTCCCTGAGCCGAATAAATCTTATTTATTTCTAAGTTCCATTTTATCTTCCTTCCATCCACACGTGGGTCTTCCAAGCGCTTTGTTCTCTGCACATGTTGCGACTAAAAGCACGCCAATGTCTTTCTCATACCCCGCCCACCACAGCACCAGATCCGTGTGATCGCTATACCGATGACTTTCAACAGAAATTATCGAGGCCAAAGATGCTATCCGCAATTATTAATTTAAAAAACGTCCAATAGAAAACTACCGGGAAGCGGGCAATTCTAACGCTGTTATTTAGAGTGTTGCAGAGGTAGATACAATTTCTTCCAACTCACATACTAAACGTAAAAGAAACGACACACTTTAATAACACGTACTTAAGAACACGCGACTTTTTTGTTGCACAGAAAGACACGTGTCTAACACCCGTCACCATCACAACCCAAAACACAGTACGTCCTTCAAAAGAAACCACAATATATTTTTGAGATGCGTAAAATTTATTCAGTAACGTAATAGTTCTTTTGTTCGCTTAATTAAATCGACATGCTAACAGACTTATCGACTAACCACCCACCCTCTCGATTCAAGAACGGACAAAATAGAAAACATTTTCACTTGTCTCATTTAATTATAATCCTCCGTGATATTCCTGTAATTACTACGAGAATAATAAGATGTCTGTCTTTTGGGTTAATGAGTCGTAGAGTCTGGTATAAGTTTACCGACGTTTCAGAGGACCTTGAATCAGCAATGACCTCTGAAACGTCGGTAAACTTATACCAGACAATATGTCGCATAAACCCAAAAGACAGTCATCTTAAAACTCCACCGTGAAAACCTCAAAATCATACTAGAATAGTTTAAAGCAGAGTTTAAAACCAATTACAATTATCTCCTTCCTTCAAGCCAATTTAAATATAAAATACAAATTTTTATTACAGGTTTTACTTAAACAGCTTTTAATCAGCCAAATCAGTTTCATGGTTACATGGTTCAAGATTAAATCAAATGTACAGTGTATTTCCTTCCTTAGGCCGAGACTATTATCAATAGCCGATGTAATGAACCAGCAGACCCTCATTTCTTCTTCGTTGCTTCTCGAATGTTTAATACCCGATCTGTTACTTTGAAATTCACACTTTTTTTTTCCAAACGAATTTCGTCTGCGTATGGAGTAAAACATGACAGAACAAAACCCAATCAAATGTTGAAGTCGATATCAGTGTCATTTCTCCATAAATACCAAGTATAAAACCAGTTCCACTTGCCTCTTCATAATTAATTAAAGTAACGGGATTTTATCCTCTGAAATGACAATTTTTCCAAATTAAATAATTTCGTGAATCTCAAAACGTATTGTTTTACGTTGTACTTTGAATGAACGCTCAGCGATTTATAATTGTTCTCTTTAACAGCGATTTCAGCCTCCGATCAGGTACTAACGACTAAGCACTATATGCCCATTACTGTTAACGCCAATTGCTTTAAAAAGCTGATTAAATAATTCTTCCCGCATATTCAAATATAACCCTACGGATATCTGGAAATAAATCAAATTTTCCACTTTGACGAAGTTAATTCTAAGTATATTGTCCGTTACGAAACTCTGAGATAATTTTGTTAATCTTTCGACTAATCACTTTTAATTTTCATATATTTTCTTTTGTTCTTTTAATTTCACATCTCAGACTTCTTCCCTCGAATTCTGCCTTTCTTTAACGATGGCTGTTAACAATTATTCTTCTAAGCTCCGCTCCCGTCAGTTCTGCAATTTGCGTAACATCTTCGTTTCTCTGCGTCTTGCAAATTGTGAGCCCTCTTGTGAGATTCACACGAAACATTCTTACAAAATACAAACCCGATATTCCGAATGGTACTTTTCTAGTTGTATTCATTTTATTAAATACATATTAGACATATACACTGGACGCACAGACTAGATTAAAAAAAAGGTCCTCTGCCCCGTCGGGGATCGAACCCTGGTTGTCCGGTCCATAATCAGTTACTACACTGACTGATCTACAATGAAAGCTAGGCAGAAAATCTCTGGCAAAAGAACAGCTTGGCCCTGTTGAAATGTTCGTGACCGATCGTTTCACAAGGTTGATAAATTCCTCCGTATGTTCAAAGTGTACTTACAGGGAAGAATCCTGGAGGCATGGGTCCACCAGGTAAGCCATCATTTGGCGGCATTTGACCCAACGGACTGGGCGCTGGGCCGGCATTCTGTAACAAAATCTTAATTAGACAAAATACTTGTACTTTCGATTGAAAAATTAATGCAAATTGGAAAGAGAAAAGCAAAAATAAGTTCTTCAAAAATACACGTCTAAAATGACCGTTATTTCCACCTCTGTCTGATCTCCGTAAACATACAGAGTGATAGAAAAGTCAGAGAAGCCATTTTAAAATATTTACTGATGGTTGCAACTCAATACAATTCGACTGGGTTAATAAATACACAGCAGCGCTGTAACTTCACAAGGGCCCGTGTAGGTCACGTGCAACCGACTCGCGCAAGTTCGTCAATTGTCGTCAACACTCGGAAGTGCAAGATGACTGTTCACAAGCGCAACGCTGTTCATTGTCGAACGCAGGGCATCGGGGCTAGAGTACAAGATTCTCCCTTATCAAATAAATGGACTATATCTGATCTGGTGAATCATTTCCGTGGCAAGACAAAAAAATTGGTGGCAATAAGTTGGGACATACTCGTCGAATTCTGTTACACTCTGTGAATTTCACTGAGAAAACTCTCTCTTCAGAATGTAAATGTTGGTACTTGTGGGTAATCGGGACACATCGCTTTAAAAAATATGTTAGGTTAGGTTAGGTTAGGTTAATGTGTGTGGATAAATGACAATACTTGAAAGTTATTATATTTTATTTGAATAAATGACAAATTATGCATGATATGTTGTTGTTACAACCTGTCTCTGGAGGCCAAAATTCGCTTATAGATTTAACATGGTACAGAACAGCAATAAATAACTGAACGAACTAACAGATAACAACAACAGAGCATGCGCAGTTTTCCGTCCAATCCAGGTCCAGATATTCGACTCTCCCGTTTTGTGTCCCGATAATCAACAAGTACCCAAATAATTTATAACTTGATGAATATAGTGCAAAAGTCGTGGAACCTAGCAAGTAAAAATGAGTTCAGAAATGCATATGCTTTACACACTTTATTCGAGGGGGGGCACAAAGTTTTCTTTTTACGATGATGCATGGTCCCATCTAAGTAGATAAGTTAATAGCCAAATGGCAGAATATGGAGTGCTGAAAATCCGTGTACCTTCTATGAAAGACAATTACACTCCTTAAAATTCGAAGTCTGGTCAGCTGTCGCCCGACGGAGGATAATTGGTACCATTTTCTTCAGCTCAACGTTAACCGGAATTGATTATAAATTCCATTCCTCTTTTTGGAAGTTAGCGAATACGACTGCTGTTTCGGCAAGATGGGACTATGACGCATTGAGCACATTTAACAATCTGGATGCAGAATGAATCTTTGGTGGTCGCATTATTTCTCGAAAATTATATCCTCTTCAATCACCAAATCGATAGCGAATGGATTTCATTCTTTGGGGATTTTGAACGTTAACGTACCAAAACAATATGCACATGTAGAATTTGAGGTTTTCACGGTGGTGAGTCTGAAGATGGCTGTCTTCTGGGTTGTTGCGCCGTGTAGTCTGGTAGATGTCCACCAACGTCTCAGAGGTCATGCTGCCTCCATCATCAGGGCAACAACCCAGAAGACAGCAAACTTCACAATTTGCACACATTGTAAAATTTTAAACAAAATAATTAACTCTTTATTTCACACGTCACTAAAAAACCTCTTCATTGGGGTGCATCAGACATGAGAAAAAACAATGCACGCATCTCTGGACGCGACATTTTCCCTTGATTACAGTGTTAACTCATTTCTTGACAAACGTGTGCCAAGAGTGGGATGTGCAACTTTTCTATAGCCCTGAAAATAAAATTCAAACCAATGGCCTTAAAACACATCCATATGCCATAATGCAGTGGTATTCAACCTTTTTTGTTCGCGTACCCCCCAGATATAATTTCTCTTCAACTTTGTACCCCCAGAGTTGTTGGTGTATAATCTACATCTAAAATAAATTAAATAAATTACATTCAAAATAATGTATTAAATCTGGCCCTGATTATTCAGAGCTGATCATAAAATAATATTTTTTGTCACGTACCCCCGGGGGTACGCGTACCCCAGGTTTTTAACCACTGCCATAATGGACTTCAAAGGGTCACCGGTCCCGTAAGTTGCAGTTCCAGATATCCGCGTTCACCGTCAGACTTCGCTAGAATCTGGCCTCATGTTACCAGTCGATGTTCAGTATAATGAAGGACAAACTATTTGGCGCGTGAACGACCGTTGCTATGCCCTGGACAAAACCGTGAGCTTGGCCTACTTCACTGGCTTGTGGGTAGACGGAGAACAGACTCGCGCGCCATATAAACCGAAGCCACAAACACAGGTATTGGGACTGCGGCTGGGAAAGAGCGTTAGTACGTGCTTTCTTGCCTGCTACACGACTGTGTCCTCTGATCCCATTACTAGTTGCGGACACTGAACGCACAGATTTGCCCCCGAACACCGTGCGTCTCGTTGCAAGACGGGTTCAAGGACAGTAAGTAACCTTGCGACGCAGTGAATTTGCAAAATGCTGTGTGTTTGTATTTATATATTCACATTCAAAACTAAGAATGCCCGGATTTATAACTTGTGTTGGGCAAGGCCGTGGTCTAGGCAACACGGAGTTTTCCTCCGTGGCATCCCAACAATTACTCCATTCACACACAGAAGAAGGCAATGGCAAACCACTTCTGGATCATCTGCCAAGAACACGGTGCCCGAATTTATAACTTGTGTTGTGCAAGGCCGTGGTCTCGGCAACACGGAGTTTTCCTCCGTGGCATCCCACCAATTACTCCATTCACACACAGACGAAGGCAATGGCAAACCACTTCTGGATCATCTGCCAAGAACGTATATGAACAGGTCCCAGTCCGAGAAAAGGATGGAAGGATCCTGTTCATATGGACCTGTCGTAAGACAGAACACTGAATAAATATAAAAAACCTAACAAAATATTACAGGACACTGAACTCCATTTGTCAAGAGGACCTAAGCATGTGGCTAGTATTGGAGAAGTCGCCGACCGAGAATTTTTTATAATATCCATTAGCCGCGGAAGTTGTTAAATCTTACGTAAGTAATTCAAAACTTTCGTGGGAGAACGCCTTGGAAGGAGCCCACCCGGAAGACCAAAAAGTAGATGGAAGCCACCAATAGGTTGGACCTTAGGGCGACAGCACAAGTTCTGGGAATCAGAAGTACGTGGAAATGGCTCGCGATTGCGCCCACTGGCGGGTTCTGATAAAACGGTTCTCGTTTAAAAAATAACGAACGCCATTATCCTCAAAAAATGTTTTTGGATTCGATTATCAGATATGCCTAAAAATTTGGCTGTTTCATATAAAACTTATTACGCTTTTGTAAATTTATGTTAACAATAAAAGAATAACATCAAACCTCTCGGTTCACTGTTGAACATTTTCGTGAGTCTCTCGACGTAACATACCGGGATCATTTCGAATAAACCACGGCTGCTTCATTTCATATATTCTCTACTTTTTCGTAACAGCGCTCACTCTCGACACCACGTGACTTCGGCAGTAGTTAGTGTCATAAAATATTTTTCTTGTGCTGACTTAAAGACCTAAATACTGAATTCCGTTCCAAAACGTACCATGCAATATACATCACATTCTAGCCGAGATGATTCATCCCCACTGTTTATACAAATCCCCGCCCTCCAATCATGAACATGTAAGGCAAGTCGATTCATAGTTCTTGGTTGTACACGCTGCACTCAGTAGATGGCTCTACTGTAGCCAAACAATGCGCCTCTGGCGGACCTTCTTGGATACTACTCAGTACCTTCCGTGGAGGAGAACGAGCTACTTCAGCTCCCAGTATTCTGTTCCTTTTTCCACGTGCCTTTTTTTAGTCGAAGCAGCCATTCGTCCTATAAAGCCGACACGAAATGTGTTTTATCCAAGATTTACGCTACGCATACATCATTATAAGATTCCATGGATCCACAAGTTGTTCAAATGACATAGTTAGGTGTGGAATAAGTCATATTGTCACATTTTGGTATCATTGTGGTATGGAGTGGGCATTGGATTCCTTCTCTGTTGAAAAAAACGACATAACAATAGGTCTTCTGAATTATGTGGCTCCAGAGAAAAATACATAAAAGCGGCAAGCCATAAAAATATCTTTCATGGACATAAAAACAAGTTTAACCTTGCATTCGATAAGTTCTTCATCAAACATCGCAAGGTCATACAAAACAGTACGAATTGCGAGTAGCACTGTTTCCCCCCCCTCCAATTTCAAAACGAGTTCAGTGCGGTAGGCTTAATGCTCAGCAGTTTTGATGGTTGCGTAGCGTCCCTAGACATGTTTTGACTCATGCATATCTCCATACTTGACTGTAAGAAACTCCACTACATCCAATGCTAGACGTATGCACTAAGATATCAAAGTGAAGGCTTGGGGGTCCCCGCATTTTGAGGGGATAAATATATACACAGTATATTTATATTCCCATTACATAACTGTATTATTGCAGAGCATTATAACACGTCATTTCGGTTAGTTAAAAAATCATTAGGTCAAAACCAGAAATTCTAAAGACGATTTCTGCTACAATCCTTTAAAACGCATATCAAAATCACTCACGATTTAATCAACAGCATCACACCATCTGCAGTGAAGCTTTGTGGTCAAGTTTCTGCTTTGCCGACAACAGAAAGAAAATGGATGCTTCATATATAGTCCTGTTTCTTTCACAAGCGTCTGGCCTTCAAAAGGTCATCTTGAGACCACGTAGCGAATTGTTTTATAGACGGACGCAAGACGAATGCCATTTTTACCTGCGGGCAATTTTTTTTTTTAATTTCCATTTTCAATTTTACGTATATATAGACAGAGCTAAATGTGACTGAGAGAGAATTGACGAAACGTTATCTTGAAATTTATGTCAAAATTGAAAATTGTTTGAATAAGGAGTGTCCATTATCATAGAATTCTTTTAACCTCAACATTCTCAAACCCCTTCTCACCTTGGAGTAGTGCATGCACGTGTGAATCCTACCACACGTGGAGTGGACATAACA